GGAAGGAAGGAAGGAAGGAAGAGAGAGGGAAGGAAGGAAGGAAGGAGGAAGGAAGAGAGAGGGAAGGAAGGAAGGAAGGAAGGAAGGAAGGAAGGAAGGAAGGAAGGAAGGAGGCAAGAGAGAGGGAAGGAAGGAAGGAAAAGAAAGAAAGAAGGAAGGAAGGAAGGAAGGAAGGAAGGAAGGAAGGAAGGAAGGAAGGAAGGAAGGGAGAAGGAAGGAAGGAAGCATTTCTATCTAAGGAGTAAAATACTATCAACTCTATGCAGTAAAGTCAAAGACGTTCCCTAACTTTCATGAAATGTTTAGAGGTTTATTGTTTGGTTGAATGCCTACACTGAGAAAGACCAATCAATCACCTGTGGTACCAAATTAGGCTTGGGGGTTAGTTAGGAAGGAGAGCTACAAAGCAATAAAATCTGTTTGTCTTCACCTACCCAAGTCCCAATATCCAACCAAGCATTCATTTAAACCCTGTGTACAAGGCTAAACAAAGTTTTGGTAGATATACAACTAGCAAAAAAGGAAAGACAAAGTTATTAAACACAGTACGATTTTGAAGTATAAATGGGTCAGATAATTCCAGTTTACAAGACTCATTAATGCATTCGGACCAGATTCTTATACCTATATTTTATTTGGTTTGTTCATATGCATATATGATTTTGTCTTGTATATAAAGTTTTGTTGTTGTTGTTTTGATTTGATTTGTTTTCTTCTTTGAGAAAGGATTTAATAAGAAAGCCTATGCTAGTCTGTAACTCTCTAGGTAGCCCAGACAAGTATCAAACAAATGACAAGCTTTCTATTCACTTCCTTGATGTGGGATTACACCTGGCTCCACACATTTTAAATTTGGATAAATACCCAAAGGTTATCTACATTTGAATACATTTTTAACATGAATAGTATAGACAAAAAACAAAACAGGGAAACAAGCAAACAAATAAACAAACTTCACTAAAGCTTCACTAAATTAAACCTCTCTACCAAGAAATATCTTCCTTATCCTCCAGGATGTAGTCAAGAACTGTGCTACCTGCCACAACTCATAGGTCTCTTCTATGCTACATCCAACCACTCTTACATCCTTCCTCAGAATCTACACTGGTGAGTCTCCCTTGATGCCCCCTAACCTGGCAGATCTAGTTCAAGTCCCATATTCAGTGTCCTGCTCTATCCAGTTTTTTAGATATACTGCCTTTATCTTAAGATAAAAACAATATAATATTGGCATAAAAACAGATACGTAGACCAATGGAACAAAAATCTAAGACCAAAACATAAGTACCTGTGTCTACATACACTTCATATTAGACAAAGATGCCTAAAACAAATGCTGGAAAAAATCTCCCACAAATGGGGCTAAGAAAACTGGAAACCATATGCCACAGAACAAAAATAGAGCCACATCTATCACCTTGCACAAAAACTAATGCTGAATGGATGAGGACATAAGCATGAAGCACTGAGGTGACCAGAAGCAAACACATGACATAGAGACAGGGAAGAACTTTCTTAATGGGATGTTATTTGTACAATAATTAAGTGAAACAACTGAAAAGTGGGACTTCATAAAACTAAAAAGCTTCTACACTGCATAAGAAACAATGAACTGGATGAAGAGGAAGGGGGAAAAAGCTAAGAAATACCTCAAAAAAATGTTCATCATCCCATATCCAAAATACTTGTTCAGCCATGCTCATTGCTAATTTATTGACAATGGTTAGGAAATGGAAGTAACTTAAATGTCCTTCAATTACCAAATGGATAATGAAAAATTGCACATATATACTATGGAATACTATTGAGCCATGAAGAAAAATAAAATGATGAACTTTGCAGGCAAATGGATGGAACCAGCAAAGATCATATTGAGTGAGATAATCCAGAACCCAAAAGACAAATGTTGCATGTTCTCTCTCATCCGTCTCCAGTTCCAAATCATCAGATGTGAGTATATATCTTGGAACAACTACAGAAAACAGAAAAATAAAAAGAGACCATTGCCATGGTAAGAGAGTAGAGAAATACTAGAGAGAAAAATAGCAAGGGACAAGTGGAACATCAGGGAAATGGGGGACTGGGTGTGTCTAGGTAGGGGGAGAAAATACAGAAGAACAAGGAGAAGGGTAAAATAACAGTAAAGATCTCTGAACAGTTACAAGGAATTATTCTACAGTTTACAAAATAAAAAATCCTATTTAAGTCTGAATAAAATCAAACATATATACTTTAAATGTGTAATCTTATCTTGGCTTACGATGTTCTCTATAAGAGCCAAAGACTGTCTAACAAAAATTCAAACACCAAGTGTTAGAAACCTTATTTTGACTTGTTGGTAGTTGTACAAGAGACTCCCCAAACCCTACAGGCTACTGATATTATTGCTTTGGTCTTGGTTGTACCCCTATTGATGAAGATACCAAGCACTTCAGACATAAGTTCAAGAGGGCTCCCAAGCTGGATTTGACCTAAAAGCTATATTACTGAATACTAGTTTCCATGTTACCAGTAGGTGGCACGTAAGCTTCTACAGGAAGAAAGGAACTAACAGTCCTATCCAGCTATTATGTCTATGAAGCATAACAACCACCACCATGGCATGATAACCTAAAGGTGCAATAGTGGTTCAGATACCTCGGCAGTAACCAGCATCTCTAATTGAACTTAAGGTTTAATCATAAAAAGGGAAATCATGACTAACCAACTACCCAAGGAGAGTAAAATCATGGATCTTGGAGGAGAATCTACAAAGACCACTTTATTAAACAAGCAAACCTCTTAACTATATTCTAAATATTTGTCTTTATACCACAGATAAGTGTTGTTACCCTTCATCAAGGAAATTTCTCTTTGCCTAGTAGCAATGGATACAGTTACAAAACAGACAGACAGACAGACAGACAGACACACACACACATACACACACACACACACACACACCAACCAAACAACCAAAACACTGAAAAGAAAACAAAAAAGTATGAGCTTTTAACTGCTGAGCTGTCTTTCTAGACTTTTTATTCTTATTTTTTTAGAGCACAGCAATCTCAAAACTGAAAAATAAATTCACTAAATCTTTGATTGCTATATTCTAGATATTAACCGCATTTCTACATGACAGCATAAACACTGGATGCTCCCCTAGCATGGGAAATTGCAAATACTAGGCAGTATATTTGAAATAGTTGTTCTGCACACCAGAAACTAACACAGTTCAAGCTAGTCCATCAGAAGAAGGCTGCAGGTATAGATCACTGGTAAAGCACTTGCTGACCAAACATAAGGCCCTGAGTTCTACTGTCAGGATGGCAAAAACAAAGAAAATACATAGTAAATATTACATATATAATAATAATAAAATATTAGTAATACCATAAAGAATCAGAAGGGTATATGTGTGTTTGTATGAACATGAAAGACAGTGATCATATATTGCAGACCCAAAGGAAGCATGCTAAATACTAAAAACAAAACAAACAAAAAAACATAGCAAAGTAGTAAAATAAGCTATTTTTAAATCCATCCAAGTAAAACTAATGAATTAAAAGAGACTAACAAAGTCCCCTCTGAGAACATAGTCCTCTTAGCACATGGAAAGAGGGGTGCTAAGCTCTGATACATTGATTTTAGAAACAAAATCCCTGAGTTATTTGGCTCTTCCCATTATTAAACACATAGAGTAATGCTCTACATATGCTATAGTAAGCACTGGATAATATATAAATTTAGTATAAGAAAAGCTGTCTCTGAAAGCCAAAACAAAGGAAGAAACACAGAGGAAGAACGTAAGGACCAGAACAGATCACATACATACTGCAGACCTGCTACCATCTCAAAAAGTTAAGTCATGGAACTAGGAACCTTTGGCACATTTATACTCATTCAAAGTGTCATTTTTTTTTTTACATGGGTAGGATCAAAATTAGATCCTCAACCAGAAATCTTACCTATTCAGCAAGTGCTTAATATTGACAGATTGGTGCTAACTTTTTAACGTTAAAAATGCAGAACAATGTCTCAATTGATCTTTACTTATTCTTTGAAGCAAGCGCTACCTTTTTGAAAAGTGTTAAATTGTAAAGTTGGTAATGATGGCAGTAATCCCAGTGGCTTTTAAGGCACTATTTGTAGAAGTTCCTTTTTAGTACTAGTGAAAGGGGGGGTATAGGAGAGAGAGGGGGAAAGAGGGAGAGAGGGAGGGAGGGGACGGGGAGGAAGGAAAAGAGCAAAAAAGAAATGAAGGACAAAGTGACAGAAGGGAGGGAAGAAGAGAAAAGATAAATGTAACTAGTATTTTGAAATACGCAAGTCCTCACCATTATCTGGAACAAATAACTCACAATGTACTCATACTCCACACAGAGAACTGTTAACTGGCATATATTACTTGTCAGTAGCTTTTCTAAATAAGCCAAATTTCCTGAGAATGAATAAGACCGGTACCAAACATCTGGTAATGAATTCTTCTGCAATTCGTTAAATGGGATGAGTCACATATACAGACCTTTAAGAATATTTTATTTTCATTAAATAGTACTTAGCAGCTAACTAGTGCCAAGGGAATTTCTAAAACCCCACAAAGGCAAAATCCTTGCGAATAAAGTACATTATGCTTTTCATTATTAAGTACAACTCAACCAGAATAACAAATATTATTGGTGAAATTTCAATATGAAAGGAACTGGAAGCTCTAGTAAGCAATGCCAAGAGAAGAGAAAACATAAGGTGGACAAGTTAGAAAAATCAACTCCCTGGAAGCATTAGAAGCTCTTGAGAGAAGAATATGGCCTATAATTTGTCTTATTAGCTCTATAGCCCAGCAAGGAAAGGACCTGGCACACCAGGGAACTAACCAAGAAACGTTTGCTGACCTAACTTAAGAAGTGAGCACTGCCTCAGTCCTCCAGGAAGAAAGACAGCAAATTCCTAGTAATCTCTGAAGTAAGCTCTGTTACTCATCACAACAAACAGCACCTCTCGGAATAACAGGTCCTTACCTGCTGCTGGACTGGCACTTGCTGTACCACCTGTGTAGGCACTGCTGCTTGGCTAGCCACAGATGTCTGCAGAGTCACTGTCGAACCTGTGTCTGAACCCGTCTCTGAAGTCTGCATGATGGTCTCTGGAATATATGAGAACAGTTTAAAGTGTTGGCCTTGCATGTTAAGCTTCATTGCATTTCTTAAATCCTATACTGAGGCTTTGGGCATATAATACCACTCACACCAATACACTGTCACCACAGCCCATGTCTGTTTTTGGTTACTGTCACCAGTTTTTAACTAAATAAAGAAAATTAATAGTGTTTACTTAAAAAATCCTTATTAGTACCTCTTGGTCTAAGATAAAGAGGCAGAACATCACTGAAAGCTGCTGTCCTTTGATCTCAGCTGTTATAAAGTATTTCAATCCTTTAATGAACTATTATTTAAAATATTCATGACATTCAAATCTCAGAACACAATCTGAAATAGATGCTCATGTAATGAACCATACTTTATAGACACTTTTCAAGGCTATTAGGATGTCAATAAAGAATATAGAGTAAATAGTTTCTAAATTACTTTCTACGTGTGTGTGTGTGTGTGTGTATATATATATATATATATATATATATATATGTATACTTTATTAATATATACACACATATATGTACATATATGTGTATACATATATATTATATGATATATAAATTATATATTATTATATGATATACAAACTCAATGAAAATAAATGTGAATTTCCTGGTCTGTAGATAAAGGTAGATAAATTTCAAGGTCTGTAGATAAGGTAGGCAGTACTATTTAATTGGTAGCCAATGAAAAGTAATGAATTGCAGTTTAAATCTGTAAAGAACATGGTGAACATTTGTTCCTTAAGAGAATTAAATTCTCAAGTATTCAATGCTTGAAGGAGAAAATTAATTCTTCTCAAAATCTTTGTCACAGTGTGACCAATCCAATACTTTTTCTACAACCACCATCTTGTTCAAGTTTAGAAATGGACCTTGAAAAACAACAAACCTATTCTTATCTTATAAATATATAATCTGCAGTGCAGAGAGGTTAGGAACACAGTCAACGTAGCAAGAGAACAGCTGGGCCATGCTTATCACTATGACCTGAGTAATTTTCTCCAGTGTTATACTGGCATTTCTATATGTGTTCTATAAATTTCCTTATTGCTTTCTTAGTCAAAGACCTAAAGGTATACAAAAGCCACAAAGTCCAGCAGTAACAGCTGCAGCTGGTTGTGTAACACAAGTAAGAGTATCTTCTGGGTGCTTTTTATTAATACATATACTCATGAATAAAGGAATCCACGAATCGACCTAAGTTTCACTTTTAACTGAGGGATGCTGGGTATACTGAGTAAAAGGAAGAGAAGGGTGAATGACGAGGACTGTGGCTCCTGGGTCGTTTACAGGGACAGGTTGGATACAAGGGAGGATACTGTGCAGAAAACAGTTGCGATTTATCAAAAGAAGCTGAAAACTCAAGATTTTCATGTGAAATATAACAAACTGTGGCTCTTTCAAATGTAACAATAATGTTAATAAATGTTTATTTGGACTAGCATTAAAATCATAGAGATGCCTAAGACTGAGAATTACATCATTCACTATACAAAATTCTCAACTGATGGAAGGGGGATGGAGACAATGCTGCTCTAACATTGGAAGTCAAAGCTAGGTTACAGTTCAAGGAGGCAGTGCTTACTTAGCCCTAGTTAGATCCCAGCCCTGGCTATCCCCTTCAAAATTATCTTCTTCTTAAAGGAGAAAAATACATAAATTAGAACTTCTATCTCTAATTTTTTTCTTCCATAACAAATAGAGAGAAAAACACCAATCCAAAACTGAATGCGACAACCTTTTGGGTCCTTTGATTTATTATGAATACACAGAGTATTGATTACATTTTGTGCTATAACAAAGGAGCTAAATGTGTATCCAAGGCTTGTGTTTATAGAAGTAACAAGGAATGGCCCAGACACTGGGCAGCATCTGCTGGGATGGTGTTCAGTCTCACCAGCTTTGGGACGACCAGGAGACTTTGTTTGTATGGTGTACAGATTCAGACGTCAAGTGTGGCTGGCTAGGGCTTCTCCTGTCCTCTCCCTCATCAGTAGTGCATGGGTTCCCACGGTGATGCCTCTTACACTAACACTCCCTCCTGCTTTCCACAGAGCTAGCTGAAGCAGGGCCAAGACTAGCTTATGTGCCAGTACTTTGTATTAATGATTAAAACTATGATGTCCTTCACTTTCTAGGTGAGGAACTGGAGGCTTAGAGATGTCAAATCCCATCCCTTACTCACTATGACACACACAGGAAACATAAAGGAAGGGATGACACCACAATCAAGTTCATGGTCCTCACACGGCATGAACTTCTCAGGACACATTCAAATCTCCGAGTTTAATGACAAACAGGGCATGTGTAAATGTAAATAGAATAACAAAGACTGATAAACGTTTTAGAATGAGGAATTGAAAAAGGTAGAAAATATGTCAGCTATTCAACAGACATAACTAAACAAGTAAGGAGAAGTGATCATTTGTAACTGTAAAGCTAGACTGTAGGGAGAGCCTTTGATTCAGCCTCCAGCTCTGTCTACGCTTCACCCAAGATGGCATTAAAAGCCCAAACTAGTGCACCCAAGGATCAGTCAAACCCCACAACACTTTCCTCTTAGTCCCAGGTTCTACACAGCTGACCAGCTTTTTACATTTTACTACCTGCATTTTATGTGTGTAAGTGCTTTTCCCCGCAGGTATATATGTGCTGCAAATGAACTCCTGACTCTTTGGGAGATGCAAACAGGGCTTTGAACCCTTTGGAACTGGAGTTATGGGTGGCTGCGGGCTACCATATGGGTGCTGGGAACCATCCTCTCAAGGACAGTCAATGCTGCTAAACCCTGAGCAAACTCTCTTGACCCTGTGACAGACACAGTACATTCCCCAGTTTCTCCACCCCCATCGGCTTAGCAGAAGAAACTGACAGGCTCCTGACTTAAGAGATCTCTTCCTATCACTCCCATAAACTGCCCCTAACGGCTGTAACTGCAATTAGGTCTATCATTTACAAAGTCTTTTCCTGATGCCAGAAAACAGTCTAATGCCTTAAATACATTTGCTAGCTTCATGCTCACAGGAAGCTCATGATGCGCGTGGTTTCCTTACCTAACAACTGTGGAAACTGAGACATGGGTGGGACTTTTAAAAATTGTTAAAAGCATGGAGGCAGAAAAAGGAAGAATCTGAATTCATTCAATCTCTGTCTGTCTTGAAAATCCACGCTTGCAACCACTGGGTGTACTGGGCTGCAGCCTCAGGACAGGACAGTTTCTGAACAAAGAGCCTGAGACTGTCAGTGAGCACTGTTTGGGATTCTAATGCATGTTAGTTTTCCAGAGGCACTTTACATTCACTAACTCTGAGGACCTAATCTTAACAGCAGAACAATGACAGTGTAAAGCATACTGGGAGAGTATAATCCTCTGAAGAAAGTTTGTTAAGCAGATTGTTTTAACCTACTGGCACACTATAGTATTCTGGGGACTCCACCGTTTGTGCAAAGTGAGAACCCTCACAGGAGGGCAGTGTCTGAAGCCTGCTACCTTAGGTTGTTGCTTCAACCCCAAACTACACTTGGTTGTTTATAACCTATTTTCTCTCATTCACCAGCAGAAGTTTCTGAGGTTTTGTTTACGCCTGGGGATGATTTGCCTGGTTTTGTCTTTCAGTGCCTGTTAAAAGTGATATTTGTTTATCAATCACAAATGTAGTCACATTACTCTGTGTTGATAAACTAAATAACCCCCTGCAGTTTGTCACTGATGTAACCCACATGTAAATGAGTTGTACATTCTTACAGGAGAGACATGCACAATTTCTGTCTACTCATCCTTGCCTAATGTGCCTGTCAGGTGTGTTATGAGCAACAGATGCTTGTTTGACAAAGGACCTTTTTATTCTGGCTAATTAAGCAGTTGGACACACCCGCCTGCTAAGGGTTCTGCTTTGTACAGCCAGCTCTGGATGAGTCATGAGAATCTAAGGCTAAATAGGCCACATTTTGAAAGAAGGCTAATTAGCCCCTAGGAGGAGGAAAAGAATATTGCAAAACCCAGCTGCTGAATGCAACAAATTAGCATTTCTTCAACCTGATGGGCAAACCTAGGCAAATCAAGTGTATTTAGAACAAACATCCCTTATTGCAAGTTTTAAGGCATTCAAATGTCCTTTGGGGGACTTCCTGAAGATTATTTAATACACTCAAATTCACAGTTTGATTCTCTTTATCACATACAATGAACATGCCAGATTAACTAGATTAATAATCTGACCTAGTCAATTGCTTATCAAACAGAACTGTATAAGCCTATAACTGATTGTGTCCATCCCATGCTTATTGGGATCTTCCTTCCGAAAATACTTTCTCTCACGCAAAGCAAAGGCTGAGTAATCTGATTCTGAGTCCATTAAAATGACTTAGTTTTCTGCATGAAGACAGTTTAATCTTCAAATTGCTTCTTCCTTTTACCTTATAGAAAGACCAAGATGCTAATTCCACTTGCTACTTAAACCAAATTAATCACAGTTATTATGATTGTACTCTATGGTAAAACAACATGACTGTACTCACATAAATTATAAGAATTTTAGAAGTCTGACTCAGCATAGCATCATAGCAATGCTACTTCATAAGTATAAATTACTATTTTTTAAACTGGAGAACAAGTAGTCTGACATTAGTATATTTTTAAATAAAGAAAAAGCCAATATCATTATAGAGATTCTGAAACATAAAACTTTTATCACTAACACACAAATCAGGATAAATTAAACCCCCATTAATTAAAATTGTAGGTATAATGGGAATGGAGAGATTGCTCAGTGGTTAAGAACATTTAGTGCTCTTTCAGAGGAACAGATATATTGGTTGTTAGCGCCCACATTGGTTGTTAACATTCTGTCTAAGCTCTGCCCCAGTTACCTGGCAATAGCCAAGTAGGCCTGACCCACTATAAAAGGGGCTGCTTGCCCCCTCCTCGCTCTCTTGCTCTCTTGCTTTCTCTTGTTCTTGCTTTCCCTTTCCCCTGTTCCCTTT